AAATATATTATGTTGGTATATTTTATACAACATTGAAATGGAAAAATGTCTTGTGTTATCGGGACACAACTCGTGTACCCCACTTTTATCATCGGGACACAACTCGTGTACCCCACTTTTATCATCGGGACACAACTCGTGTACCCCACTTTTATCATTGGGACACAACTCGTGTACGAGAAATTTGGTTGGGACACAACTCGTTAACTGCGATAAAAAAATATCAAATACAAAATCATTGTATTATTCATTTACAGATAAATATACTTTTATATACATATATATAATTCAAAAGATCAAAAAATTAATTATATGAATAATAAAAAGAAGATTTTAAAAAACTAAATTCGCTAATGTAATTTTTATATTAACAGTCAATTTTTTTTTCTCGTATCATACACGTGTGTGTTTGTGTTTGGCAGAATTTCTATTGAGCACCCGAAAGTTTCTGTCGTGCCCGGTTAGGTTAGGTATCATAAAAAAGTAAAATCATTGTAACTAACCAGTCCTATGTATATAATATTATATTTATGTCTAGTGTAACATTGTTAAATAAATAAATAAATATTTTGTTGTCATATTTAATAATCATCACAGTGTAAAGATATATAACAACATCATACTGTCAAAAATACAGGTGTTATTTCAAACAAACAAATTTAATAAATATTTTTTTTTATAAAACACATTTGAGAAAGATGTACGATTTATTGTATAATTGGGAAATATATTATTAGTTATGACGAATGTAATATTAACTGTACAAAACAAAACATGATGATTAGTATTTAATTAATGCATACGCAATTTAAATAGAGTGCATAATTTATTTAGTTTTTTAGAACATTAATTACTATGGGATCTTAGTCGGTGACCAATGCGCAGTGGTGTAACTACAGACTTCACTAATTGCAAAACATTGTTCCAGACGAAATATTGAACACATTTGCTATTATTGGTAGGAAATAATGTTTATCACATTCAATTTTAATAAAATAAAATAGTATAGTATAAATCATTTTTTAAAAGTGAGTAAGTGGATGTCGGTCTACTGTACAGTAGGGGTTACAAGTGGGTCACTGTAATGGATGGTGTTAAGTCAGAATTCAATGATATAAAATCATTGTATACGAAAAACGATTCTGAACGAAGACAGCCTGTAAGTCTTCAATATTACTCAGTAATTTAGTATATTTGATCAAATTATTGTGGATTTACGATCAACTTTTTTTTTAATTTCCACTACCAACAACTTACGAGGAACCTTGTTTACATTATCAAGTCTTTGAACCAAATGAAAATTTTTTTATCGACATTAGTTTAAAAAAAACTATAATAATCGAAAATTTCATATACTTATAAATAGTCAACATGAGTCAAAATATTTTGAAAATTGGATGGTATACAGAAAATGGGGAACTTTCAGTGAAAATTATGTATCTACGGTATTTTTTTTTAGAGTCACATCAAAACCAAAATTGATTTGGTCAAAAACTGGGTTTCCGTAAAAATTCCCGTTTTTCCTTAATTTTTTTGTTTACTGTCTATAAGTATTCATAACTTATTTTAGAAATGTCTAGATAGTCCCCACGGCTATATAAGTGGTTCATAATAATTGTAGCAATTGTAGCAACCCAAGATTTTTTTGAAAGATAGAGACAGTCTAAACGGGAGAAGCCGTGTTGGCGTGAGGGTCGAGAACGCACTACTGAAAGTATGGTGAAATTCGTATATAAGACTATCGTGTGCACTGGCCGTCGATGACTTAAATTAATATCAGCACCGGAAGTGGCTGTACGCGTCCTTCCGGGAAGAGTTGCCCAACGACTCCTGCTATTAGACCATGTATCACAGTGAACTAATGTGCGTTTATGTAATATGGTGGCTATAGGGACAGTGGCAATGTATAAGCGTATATATCGGTGTTACTGAAGACCGTTCTAATACAATTATTATTTCAGTTGTTTTTAAAGAGTGTGTACATGTGTGTGTAAGATTATTCTACTACTTAAATATATCCTAACATATTTGATATGTATATGTATAATTTATATATATATATATATATATGAATTCCCTTTAAGATGTACATGCATGTGTAATGTGTATGTGTTCACTTACCTTATTCGTGGTGAGTGATCTTAGTAGTACTTGTGGTGTGTGTGTGTTGTTAGTTATGCATAGTCAATCACTAACCGAATGTAGTTTTAGTTTTTGAGCCCCTACCGTTATATTGTAGACCTGATACAGCTTAGCATATCCTACCAACCAAATGGAATGAAAGTTTTTATAGTTTTACTTATATCATATTTCTTAAATAGACAATTACTTAGTGATGTAGGTAATTATAATTTACGGGTGCAGCTAAAAATAACCTAATAATAAAGATATGATAATATTATAATACACTCGTAATTAAGTTATAATACGATGGTCGATGATAGTCACAGGATTTCATATTGTGTGAGTGACTTTGATAGAGAGATAAAGTGAATTGAAAAATTAACAAGATGATTTAGGTTAACAATATGAAATACTTGATCAAATAGCCATGCCGAATTCTGAGGTATTTCAATATACATATACGTCTGCAAGTACGCAGAGCGACAAATACTCCTTTGAACAGTGTATCGTGGTGTAGACTGGCGTGGGCGTCTTGCATCGGCTCTTCTTATCGAAAACACTGTTGATGAGTCGACTTTGTATGGTCCTTATAAAGAATGATCTAGTGTAATCCGTTCCTATAATTAGTGTGTATCGGTTGAACGTAACTTTAAGGTATCCAGATGCGTTTATGATTTTATATTGAACGGTGCGACGTATGTATCGCTATAGTAGAGCATTTTTGTAGTTTTGTGAAACACTATAGATCGTACTTTGTGCCGGAGAGAAGGATTGAGAATGAGGTTTGAGAAATAGTACAAGTGGAAATCGACTAACAGGATTAGCCCTCGTGTCAATTCATCGCAGTATTTCATTTCAATAGACATTGAAGAAGTGATTAACAATTTTGCAAACTTGCCTCGAAAATTGGATTTTTGCTTTCATTTAATTTGTATAATATTCGAGTTTTTATAATTTATAAAGTTACTTAAAATAAAGTTAATTTATCATGATAATTAAATATATTTTTTTATAACCCTCCCCCCTCCCCGTAATTGATTCCCACTACTCCAAACTACACGGAGTTAGGCACATTTAACCTTCGTATCCATACAGTACTATCCCTCACCTCTCATTTACTCACATCAGTTATTTTCGTATCATTATCTATTCTGTGTATCATATATTCTTAATTTGACCATAATCTCCCCCTGTTTCCTTCTACGTCGTTTCCATAGCCACTCTCACTAGCTCCGTGTTACTTATTTTCACAACATGACCAAAAACCATCCCTATTCTTCCTCATTTTGTCTAGGAACAATACAATTTAAGAAATTGTTTTTTTTTTCAAAACAGCCTTTTTTGATTTGAAAATTGAATAATATGTAATCATTCATTTTAACGTTTAAAATAATTATTACTTAACTGAATTGTCAATAAGATAGAAAAAAATATTTTATTTCATATAACAATAGAGAATACACATAAATACATAATATATGAATTGAACATGTTGTGTTTACCACAAGTGTGAAAATAAAATGTTTGTTTATTTTAAATTATAATGCGATGTAATATAATAACTAGAACTAAATACTTATTTCAACAAGATAAAAATTAGAATTTTTTCTGCCGAAGAAAATATATCTCATACCACTTTATATTTGACAAAAAAAATGTTTTTAATTATTGCCTGGACAATCGTAAAAACGACTTGAAATTGAGTTTTAAATTTATATTTATTTAACAGCTAATGAAATAGCTGGTTATTTCAATTTATATTCTTTCGATTGAACATCAAACTTCTTACACGGTATTACTGAACCACCGCGAAAGCCTGCAACTATGTTTTTAAATCCGGCAAACGCCGAACTACAACCACAGTCGTTTTTAATATCATCAAGATCCATATCCCTGACAATCAATCCACTGTCTTGTTCAAGTGCAAACTTTCCCTATAAAACCATAAAAAAATATGGTTACGTATATTTAAAAATAATAACAATTTAAATCAGACAAATTCTTTGGTATCTAAAATATCTTATTAAATTTGGGTAATAGAATCATATTCTAACTACATATAAGATGTTAATTTTAGTACCTACTTCAATCAAGGTTTATTATTTATATCTAGGTACAAGTGGTATTACGATGTAAGTCCGCAAAGAAAACGTATTGAGAACATTACCCACGGTATATTAGCCTATGTGCTTTGTTAGCGACTTTTAGATATTCCAAATTTTACCCAAACATAAATTACACTCTGTTTTCTTTTAAATTGTATATATTTTTTCTATCATTGTCTTATTGTTTCGGTTGATTACGTTACACTCTAGTTGTAGCACTTTGAATTTCAGACTCACAATATATTTGATACTTTTCACTGTTTTATCTTTGGCTTTACGCTGTTATCTAAACTCTGGAGAGTTTATTAACACGGTTTTGCTGGTTTTAAATACCAATCTCATTTTCAAATAATTAGTTGTACCGATATAATATTGTTCATTCTATAGTGATTTATAATTTCCACAACTATTTTCAAGACGGAAAATTCTGTATAGTTAAAATTGTTTCTAGTTCTTTTAGGGTCGGGAAAATGAATTCTTAGGTATCACCGATGGAAATTTCAATAGACTTAAATTTAGTATTATTATGAATAATATGATAAATTACAACTAAAATATTTGACCATAATTTTATTTATCTGGGTTATGGAGCTAAAATTAGTTTTTAATCACTTTACACTTACATTTATTGATAACTTTAATAATCAAAAGCCGGTTAAAGTATAACTTTTTGGACAACAAACATTTTATCTGAACTATTTTCAGATTATCTACACAAAAATTGGAATTAGGCTTTACTGTACTATATCTTTAAAATACTTAGATTCATAATATATTAAACGGTACCTAAATTTGTAAACTTACTAAAACAATATATTCTATATTTATTTATTGGGTTTTAATTTCTTAATCAAAAAACTGAAACCTCGTTAACACAGAATTTTGAGTACCTATTTAATATATCATCAAAAATAAATGTAAGATTTTTATTTTGTTCATGTTTAAAAATCTAGAAAATATATTTGCGGTATAGGTAGTTAGAGACTTCCAGACTGGGTATAAAATATGATATAAAATATATAGTAATCATAATGAAATAATAAAACAATCATTTGACGAATATATATTATATACACACATATATATATAACTCTGCAATTGGTAGAAATTATTTTGCAAACTAATATTTTTAATCCAACATTTATTATTTTACCTTATCATAAAAGTTTGTTGTAGTTTGTACACACAAAGATGACATATTCAATCCTCCTCGACACACCTAAGACATTTAAAGTAATGAAATAGGTAATCAAATGTATTTTCTTAAAAATATTATAATTTACGATACTTGTAAATATGTATTATACGGAAGTTTACTGCTTATGTCTATTGGATTCAGTTCAATATCATAGGCGATTCTTGTAAGACATATTTCCGATTCCTTTAGAAATGATGCTACTTCTTCCTACAGTTATCAATCAAGAACGTGTTATTACAATTTTAATTTACATTATTAGATAGTTATATTTTCTTGGTTCATACCTACCAAATCACTCATTAGTCATTAGTTATTAGATTCTCACAATATATTCATAACGTTTTTATCGACTTTTATTAATTTTCCAGATCTTCATATTATTTTTTTATTATATTGTGTATTAAATAAGTAATTCAATTAAAAAAAGTGAAAGCATAAGTCAGAAATTTATTAAAAATAAAATCAAACCGTATTTGCAAAAAATAAATTGACTAGCTGACATATTGTGTGAAATGTGTATCATACAAAATAATATGAACCATTAAAGTATTATAAATTTGTATTTTGAATCTAACCGTAGTATAATAATATGTTATACTAATTGTTAGTCATTTTTCACGACCACAACTAGAATTCTATTTTTACCTGTTTTGATCCCGACCTCAACTTAGTATAAACCTGGGCGTCGAGCGGTTGGGGGAAAATGTTTGGGTGCATTTGCCAAAAATCAAACACTTAGACTACAAAGTTTAGAGCGTAAATCCATACATTTGGACGTAATATTTCCCTTCACAATAGCACGTTTGGGTGAATTTATTTCTTTGCATGTATATATAAACAAATTGTACTAAATCTGAGCCTATTGGCGTTACCCGGAAGACACCGCGAGGAGGTTGGCAATAGTCTTCCAAAATTATTTCAATATTTTTTTTTTTTTTTTAAACCTCCTAATTTAATTTTTATTAATTTTTAGTTTACTATTTATTAATATTATTCTATATTATTATGATATTTTTTATTTATTTTATGTAATTAAATAATTTTTTCCTCGTAAAACGCGGTACTAATTGTTTTAAGTGCCTAGTTCAATATATTGTTATGAACCCCTGAATCATATTTTAATATAATATTATTTTACATGATATTTTTTAAGACCATCGGGAATAGTGTGTTATACGACGTCGAGACCGTGGAATCCGCTGACACAGGATTTTGATTGTGACACGGAGCGTCGTCGTCCAACACACTATACGGGAGGTCAGGCAGTCGTCCTTAGTCTTAATATTACGTCTGAACCGATACATTGTCATTAGCCGTAGTAAATAATAAAATATAATTTTTATTTAATTATTTTGCGTGCGTTATTTTATTTTGTTGTGAAAATTCATAACATTTTTTGGTGGCAGCGGTGCGATACGATAGTATTCCAGTTCTACGCTCAAAAATAATAATTACTTAAATCGGCAAATTAATGATCGTATATTATATACCATGTATAAGTAGTGAACAGCCGTAATTTGTTTTCATCAAGACTCAACAGAAACTTCGGACCATTCGCAAACGTTCAAGAAAATCGCAGACAATCTACCAGAATCTCATTCATCTCAGAATTCCTGAAATAACAGGTATATTTTTTTTTTTTTTTATTCAACACACGTTGGGTGAAGCCTACAGGGCGCCGCCCGAAAAAAAAAAAAAAAAAAAGAACTTTAACTGATAGCATAATGAATGACAATATATTAAACCAAACAATAGAACCCAACAGGGGGGAAAGTCAAACATTATTAGAACCCAGTAAAATCGCAGGTAGTTCGTTGAGTGGAGACGTCCAAAAATTGACACAAATCACAGAATCTTTATCCTCATCAGACAGAGCGGTGGACACCATAGGTTTAGAAGCGGCACTAAAACTTTTACCCTCAACCTTCAGTGGAATCAATCAGGAAGACCTTGAAGTCTTTCTCGAACAATACGAGTTTGCGATCATGTGCGCAAATGATCGTGCAAAACCTAGATTATTACAAGGAATTATGATAAGGTTAACAAATAAAGCTCGAGCAACAATCAAATTCCGAACCATCAATACTTGGAACGAGCTTAAGGAGACGTTAAAAAACTCACTAGAGCCTAAACGTACTACTACGCATTTATATCTAGAGCTGTACTCAAGCAAACAAAGACCAAACGAAGATGTAGCTTCGTACTCTTCACGAATTGAATCACTGCAGACACTCATCCTAGAACAGGAGACCAGTGGGAAAACTTTAGAAGCAGCTACAGCTTTGGAGAATAGCTTAAAAGCGCAAACCATCCAAGTATTCATCGAAGGACTTGGAAATCTTAAAGATTTTATAAAGGCAAGAAACCCTCCTATCTTGGACAAAGCCATACAGGCAGCACGTGAAGAAGAAAGAGTGAGGAAATCTCTCGAAGAATCCAAACGATTTTATGAAGTACCTAACAAGCAACAAAACGGTAAAACCCAGAACAAAAAACTACGTACACCATGTTTTCACTGTGAAAAAATGGGGCATTGGGCACGGGATTGCCGATCACAGCAAAGTACATCAAACAGCGGAAACTCAACAAATCATCCACCAAAGGCTACAGTTAACACTATCACATGTAGGTACTGCAAGAAACCCGGTCACACGAAGGAAGTGTGTCGGAAGTTAAAGTACGTTAACTCTAAAAAAGGAATAGAAACTTCAGAAAACGTATCGAAAAATCAGGGAAACCAATCGCAGTCGGACATCAACGGCGGACGTCCGGCAAGCATTCAAATCCTGGTTGACAATCAAAAACTAGCAGACGAGTTCTAGCTACGAGTTCTCACGCATGCCTTTTGGACTGAAAGGTGCACCCGGAACTTTTCAACGATTAATGAACAAGGTACTCATAGGACTAAATGGGTTAAAAGCCTTTGTGTACCTTGACGACATCATAGTATATGCTAAAGATCTCTCCGACCATTCACAGAAACTCGTCGATATTTTCAATAGGCTCAGACAATACAATTTAACACTTCAACCCATAAAATGCGAATTCCTCAGAAAGGAAGTAACGTACCTAGGACATCGAATCACGGACGAAGGTGTAAAACCAGACCCTCAAAAAGTAGAATGTGTTCAGAAATTTCCGATTCCAAAAAACGTCAAAGAGATCAAATCTTTTCTTGGATTATCCGGATATTACCGACGATTCATCCAAAACTATGGCCAAATCGCAAAACCTCTAACGACATTTCTCAAGAAGGATGTTCCATTTAGGTGGAATGATTTGTGCCAACAATCGTTTGAAACATTAAAAAATTGTTTAATCCAATCTCCGATACTTCAGTACCCAGATTTCACAAAACCTTTTAACCTCACGTGCGATGCCAGTAACTATGCTATAGGCTATGTTCTTTCCCAAGGACCAATAGGTAAGGACTTACCACTAGCATACGCTTCGAGAACCCTAAACAAGGCAGAAATAAATTATAACACAACTGAAAAAGAACTTTCCAGTATAGTATGGGGTATAAAGGTATTTCAACCATATCTCTTTGGACAAAAATTTAATGTCATAACGGATCATCGCGCACTAGTATGGCTCTTCAATTTAAAGGATCCTGGTTCTAGACTTACTCGTTGGCGACTCAAATTAGAAGAATATCAATATACAATTCAATACAAGCCGGGAGCAAGTAATACTAATGCTGATGCTCTTAGTCGAATTCACAGAGTTGTCCTAGATCACAACAAAACACTGACACTACTGACGCTATTCAAGACATCGAAAACCAAGTAATACCTGCGGAAATCCCTGAATCATTCTCAGAAACTCAATCAGAACTTTCAGAACATTTAGAACCTTCACAGCCACAAGAAACAGATGAGTACAATAGTTTCTTAACAGCTGACTCAAGTAAAAAAAAATCTACGCCGAATGTTCTCGAAATCCAAGGGAATATTTTTGACTAGTAGTGGGTGTATCGGCAGATTTTAAAATGACGCAAGGATTAGCGTTAGCTGTGCTAAGAAAATTTGGGAACATCACCCAACTACGTAAACTAAACAAATCCGTCACGGAAATTGCCTCATTAGACACAGAAAATATATCAGTATTTTATCTAATCACAAGAGAAGACTATTGGCAAAAACCTACATACCAAAACGTGTTTCAGAGTCTTATAAATCTCAAGAAAGCATGCATGGAACAACAAATTACACATCTGGCAATGCCACGTTTAGAGTGCAGTCCGCAAGGATTAAAATGGGAAACCATTCGTTCTATGTTATGTTATATATTCCGGAACTCTTCTATTACTATAAAAGTGATGGTAAAAGAGCAGCCGACACCAGAGGAACAGCTACAAATACTGAAAGAATTCCACGAAAATCCTATGGGTGGACACCAAGGCATTACCCGCACTTATCGACGAATATCTCAACAATATCAATGGAAAGGTATGAGATGGATAATAAAAAACTACGTCCTATCATGTACAGTTTGTCAATTTAGCAAAACAACAAACCGAACAATCAAAGAACCGATGGTGGTCACGACCACTGCATTTCGTCCTTTTGAAAAAATATTCATGGACATTGTCGGTCCATTACCTAAGTCGGCCAGCGGAAACGCATTTATCTTAACATTACAGGACGACTTATCGAAATTCGCATGGGCAGTCCCCATGTACAATCACGAAGCCAATACTGTGGCACATCATTTCGTTACTCAATTCGTATTTCTGCATGGACTTCCACAGACTCTCGTAACAGATTGCGGAACTGAATTTCTGAGTAAAATTTTTAAAGAAGTATGTAATCTGCTGAAGATCAAACAGACTTCTACAAGCCCTTATCACCCACAGAGCAATGGATCATTGGAAAGGAGTCACAGAACCTTAGGTGAGTACCTGCGTAGTTTTGCAAATAAAGATCCTCAGAATTGGGACGCACAGGTTCCATTTGCTATGTTCTGTCACAATTCGACAGTACACTCTGCTACGAATTTCCAATGTACGAACTTGTCTATGGAAACAAACTCATAGTTCCAAACTCATTTACCCGGACTCCGGAACCCCAGTATAATTATAATGACTATTGTCATGAATTAAAGAAAAATATGCAAGAAGCTCATCAATTAGCTAAGGAACAACTACAAGCCAACAAGATTGAATCAAAGAATCGTTACGACCAAACGCTAAAATCTCTAAACATAAATACTGGCGACAAAGTAATGATGCAAGAAAAGCAAAGTAAAGGAAAACTAGCACCGAAATGGCTAGGACCCTATAGTGTCATAGAATCTCACCCAGGCTCCCCAAATCTGACAATACTAAAAAAGAATAAACCAGTCACTCTGCATAAAAATCTATTTAAAAAGTTTCATGAAAGGAATTAAACTGTGTTTCAGAGTTAGCATGATCACTCTCCAACCTATACAATCTTCAATCAAGAATCTCGAAATGAGTGATTTTAACAGACCATTCACACCAATGTTTAATGTAACATCCTTCGGAAACAATCAAGGACTGTATTATGAGTCACATGGAGATATCAGATTATCACATTCCAGTTGGAATTTGGTAACTTACCTTGATCTCGATACATTCATTTCGAAATACGACATGATAATGAAATACTATGAAGCGACTACGGATATTTGTAAGAAAATGACAGAAAATTTTGGAAGTGTGGAAATCTCTAACACTTGTGAACTATTCATACAACAGTTTTCTCGAGCAACTTTACCCTACTTAAATGAAATTGATGCAAACCATCGTAGTTTGATGTTAGCCATTGGTTATAAACAGACAGAAGACACTAGGATTCGCCGAGGATTGGGATCTGCCTTTAGGCGTGTGGCCAACGTTCTACATGGCATGTGCTCAAAAATCGATATTGAATTCATAATAAGCAAAATAATAGAATTAAATAGAGCCAAAGCTAACAGCCTAAACTTGACACCGGAGAAGATAAGAATAGCACAAACAGAAACAAACCATACTACACAGCAAATCGAAAAACAACAACAAAAGCTGGAGGAAAACCTTCATTTCTTACAACAACAAACAAATAATAGTATTCAAAACATTAATAAACTAGAATTTAAAACCAGAATATTAGAACAAGTTTTTATATTTGAAGTAATATTGAATAAGTATGCATATGAAACCCAGAACCTCGTAGCCATATTAAATGCAGCCGTAGACGGAAAATTACACACTAGTATGTTCACACCACAAAAGCTATACAGAGAATTGCTAGAAATAAAAATGGAAATACCTATCGGAAATGCTCTTCCACTGGAAGTTAACACTGAAACTCTAATCGAATTTTATAGAATATCCGAAATCACCATAATTCACAAAAATAATTATTTAATATACGTTATGGAAATTCCTTTAATTTCCAGTGATGAGTATATTATGTATCACCCAATACCATTACCGATACAATACAATGGGAATACAATAATACTAATTGACCCAGAAGTAGACTATATTGGATTTAGCCGAGACAATGAACATTTCCTAACGTTAAGATTAGAACAATGGGAAAAATGTATACAAGCAACACCCTACAATATCTGTAAGGACATCCAACAAATCCACCACAGTGCAGCATCCGAGTTATGTGCTATCTCACTAATCACAAATTACCAATCAAGCTCAAAAGATGATTGCAAGGTCAAGTTTTTATCACTAAATTCACCAATTTGGCATAAATTAGCCCAAACTAACTCTTGTATATATTATAGTCAAACCGAGATAGGAACTATCACTAGCCAGAATTCACCACAAACATCTAAAATTGAGATTTCAGGGGTAGGAAGGCTAACCTTATCTCCCTTATGTAAAATCCATATAGGAAATTCCATACTTTTCACAAATAATCGACCAAGTAGGAATTCCCAGCATGACATTATACCAAATAATAATAAAGATAACTTAATGAAACTTTTGGAAGAATCTGTTAAAAATGTTTTACCCCAGAACGTTACGAGCAACATTCTTATTAAAGATCTTAACCATTTAGCAAACATAGCATCCGACATTGGTAAGCTTCCACACGTTTCCTCAGAACCTCTATTAATATTAAGAATTGAATTTTATGTAATAATTATTTATGTATTTTCTGTATTTTTCGCCATAACATTTAGCATAATAATTTATAAATTAAGAATTAATCGTATTAAAACATACAACCCTGAAATACCAGATAATAAATCAAGTATTAGTCAGGTCGAAATTCAAGTATAAAATTAATTGTATTCAGTAAATTTATTTAAATCGGTACAATTTGTAAAATTTTTTTTTTTTTGTTTCTCTCTCTTTCTCTTGCTGTAATGACACTGACCTCCTCAGAAATTTCGGATCCTCGCAAACACTCAGGATTGGGTGAAACTCGGTGGTCATAGGACCCCCGTGTTTCATTTAGTCTGGGGGTGTTATGAACCCCTGAATCATATTATAATATAATATTATTTTACATGATATTTTTTAAGACCATCGGGAATAATGTGTTATACGACGGCGAGACCGTGGAATTTGCTGACACAGGATTTTGATTGTGACACGGAGCGTCGTCGTCCAACACACTATACGGGAGGTCAGGCAGTCGTCTTTAGTCTTAATATTACGTCTGAACCGATACATTGTCATTAGCCGTAGTAAATAATAAAATGTAATTTTTATTAAATTATTTTGCGTGCGTTATTTTATTTTGTTGTCAAAATTCATAACAATATTTTTTTCATCTTCATAAGTTTCCCAGCATTTTTTTTACAAACTTGTTTTTCTCCAGTCTCTTTTTATAATTTATTAGTTATTTTACTATCATAAACGGCGAACACAGAATATATATTATCTGTACTAGTAGATACATATCTATAGTTATACTTGATGCAATATTTTCCAATAATTCAGATAATATTATGTTCTACAGCAAGGTAAACAATTAAGTACTTATTAGATTATTGATTACACAAGACATTCAATTACTAGTTAGAGTATTGTGCCCAAAAGTGTTTTCATAATTACACCCAAACGTGTTAACAATTTTCAGGTACAATTTTTACACTGCACCCAAAAGGGTTATCCCCGACCGATTGCAACCCAAAGTTACACCTCTTTACTTTTTCTCCTATCCCAGGTTACATAGTAGGTAAGGAATACGATTTTCAGTGGTTATCAAAACTAAATAAATAGCCTGATTGCGTTCGATACTTATTTTGATATTAATATAATTATCGTATCACGATTCACACTATCACCAATATTCAGAGTAGTAATTTCCAGTCCAATAAAAATAAAAAAAGCATATAAACTCTAAGATTGCTAGGTTGCGAGGGATGCAGTTGTATATTATGGTGTTACCTATTGCTTATTATGATAGTGTTGTCTAGTTCTTTGTTTTATAAAGGGTAAATGGTGGAAATGTATGGAATTTTAAGCAAAAAAAGACAAACAAATAATAGTAATACATAAATATACATATTGCTTTCATAAGTTATAGCTATGTAAGCAAATGCAATATAAAGATAGTGTTGTACAAATGAAAGTTGTTAAAGTTTTATTAAACGGTACAACAAATAAATTTTGATAAGCATCATAAGTAAATGTGAAGTGAAGGACCACAATCATGAAGCCAATACTGAAAGTATATTGAAACGTCAAAAAATACGTAATGGTATTAAAAGAAAGGCAACTGCAAATATTTGTGAGGGACCGTCAAAATAAATTTATTTTATTTTATATATTTTTTGTTGTTAACAATTATTTGTCTATTTGACTATTTATACTATGTATATACTATTTATGATGCATTTTTATAAAAATATTTGTTTATAGAACTTTATTTAATTAATTATACACTATTTAGTATTTTGTGAACTAATGTGTGTTGGGACACAATCGGGATACTTATACTTGGGATAAAATACGACCACCTGAATTCGGGCAGCAATCGGGCAGCAATCGGGCATCCCCAACCAACAAACAATATAGCTCACACCCCCACCCCCTGCCCCCTTCAAAAAAATATCCCATCATCGCCCCAAAACTAAAAAAAAATTTCAGTATTTACAAAATACTTTAAATAATGTTACCATTCCAAGCATGTAATTGTCACCGTGATCGACTTTTGTAATTGGAGACTGGCCATTATATATTGTGATATTACATGTATTCAATAGAGTCGTCCGTATTTCATAGAAGGTTACTAAATCGTTCAATTCAACAAAATTATACACTAAAAAAAATAATTAAATTTAAGTTGTACTATACTTGATTAAAAAAAAATGAAATACATAATTTTACAGGAATTTTAAGTTACAATTGGAATAACTTAAAGACTACGATATTATGACTAATTTGTCGTTTGCCTAAATATAAAATAACTATAGTGATCTGAAACAATGAACGATTGGTAATTTTTTAATTAAACGGTATCTTTATTATCGACACGTCGACACACCAATTAAAAGAGCAAAAAATACCTCAGTTTATTGGAGTATTGTATCTTAATGATTTCAATTGGTACCTAGGTTGAGAAAGTATCAATTGAAAACATATACAGAATTTTCCAAAATAATTGTGTGATATACTAATTGATGAAAAACAGAAAGAGAGAATATCTCCCAAGTACTTACTTTGTAGTATTCATATAATATACAAATTAACAAAATTCAGTGATCAATATCAAGAACCAGACATTTTTATAAAATTTTAACATTAGTACAAAATATACATATCACGTACTGCATTTACACTTTATAGATGACGGGTATGCATTTACAGCAACACCGATTATGAAGTCAGGATTGCATTTTAATTGTTTTATATAAGGTATGATGAATTTTCCCACTTTTTCGTCGAATGGTATGAATTCCTAAAAACACAAAAACAAGTAAGAATCGGAAGGTTAAAAGTATAAAATAGCTGTTACTTTTTAAAAATGGAGAAAAAAACTAAAAAAATTAGGGAAATTAGTATTTGTAAGCAATACTAGTCTTATCCCTATAATCGATTACATTTTTTTTTTTGTAGTTCTTAATGGAAAAAGTAGTTAATAGTGTTATTTCGGTGTAGGTAATTCAAAAAATATTAATGGTATAGCCATCTAGATATGAATTAATCCATTTTTCATCATTTAATATACAGACAGACATAAAAATTTTCAAAATTCCAAGACCTGTTTAAGCTATTCATATACATCTGAAATTTTAGATTCCGAGTAGACCGATGAATATATTCGTTTTATAATTATGTAATTTTTTTGTTTTGTGTGTCTGCAGTTTACTCGTTTTATCATAGTAGAAAATATTAAACACTTCAATCTTCCCCTTCAGCCCTTCAAGGGTGATTCTGGTACCAAATAAATCTTTTCGGTATTTTTGAGAGTTAAAAGTGAACAATAAAAATGAATAATCAGGAAAAAAATTAGGGAAAACGTTTTTACAAAATCGATTTTTTGTTGTAATTCAAAAACGAATAACCGTAGCTCGTAGTGATATCAAATTGTCAAAAAATATTCGTATTAGACGGGAGGATGTACTTTCAAAATATTTGTGTGATATTTATAGATATTTGACAATATCCTAGAGAAAGGGGTAAAGTGGAATTTTTCGTATGCAATTATATTTTATCACAGAATCCGAATTTAATTCAATCTACAGTGACCTACTCAATGAGAGATTTACTCTAAACCTGCTGTATATCGGAATGACTCCGTATTTTTTTTAGTAAAACTATTTTCATAATTTTTAGCAAGTTTTTGGTTAATTTTGTCATAGGTATTTTTATAAGTCACCATAACAAAATATAAATACAAATTCAAAAGTACTTCACTTTTAGTAATACTTATACTAATTAAAAATTGTAAATAGGTAAAAGGTATGTTATAAGACATAAGTTATAGCATTATCATCTATCGGTATTTATGAAAGTTGCTTTAAAGGCACACAATAAATACATACGCAACGCGGGGTAAGATTCTCTACAATGAATCCTGATACATTGTTTTTCGTTGCGAAATCACATAAGACTTTTGCATCTTTGGCATTGCCGTCAGGGCCCAATATTATACCCCAATCCGTGTACGCTTCCTCTCGTTGAAGAACCAGGAGCACAGGTTTATTTAAGTCTACCACTGCTTTGAGACTCACTGAAATATATTTATATTATCTGTTGGTATAATAAATTCTGTATATGCAGTCACAAACCATATTAACTAAACATCAAACAAATTGTTTATTTTATGTATTTAAATTATTAAAACACATTATTGATCAATAGGACTTGGACTATGTTACTAACAAAACAACCGAACTTCTAAGAGTTAATTACCATTTTATTTATTAAATATTACATGATAAGTTCATAGATATACCTTATACACATAAGTAGGTATTTGGATCCTCCATATCCATGGTTTTAGATGAACTCCAGTAAAGGGGTTAATCTACTCATAATAATCTCGTTGGCCTCGTAAAATAATAACCATTCTGAAGTCATAATATTATGGAGTAGTACGAATTTGTATGTTAATGTTAGTACTTAATTAGGTATGAGGCACCTCTATTACATCTAACACTTATTCTTCATAACATCACATTTTTTGCGATTATCTGATGACTACTGATGGCTGTCTTGCCATGTTTGCAGACGATACTGGCCATAACAGAAGTTATATCTATTACATATTATGACATATTTTAAATATCCTATCAAATATCCAGACCTTACCCACACCTTTAAAACCATTCACGGTCATAGAATAATGTTACGAAAAGGCAATAAATCAAGGACTGTCGCAAGAGGATCATTAGATACCTAATAAAAATATAAACTTCCAAACAAATATTTTAATATAGTATACATGTAAGTTCATATTTAATAAAAATGAATTTACCTTCATCTACATTTATTACGGAAAGTTTGTCGATAGAAAATCGGCTATAAATAATTACTTCACATTCACACGGTATATCTTTGGGTTCTAGATCAACTAATTCTGAATCAGTGGCCTTCATGTTCCCCTTGAAAAAACACATAATTGATTTAGAAAAACTTGAGTTTTCTGTACTTCCTGAAATCATATAACAATTCATATAACAATTATTATCTTTCAATGTAAAATATTGGAAACAAATTTATAATTTTGACATTCTCATGCAGAACAGTAGAACATATTTGTAATTTACTAAAATTATCATATTATCGAATTCTGTTTTAAAATTAGTTAGTCTTAACATAACAACATTAATACATTACATTGATTATTGATAAAAAGTAACCAAGGCTCTATGAAAATAGAATTTTAGTGTTGAATATCGATATTAGATGTCGAAACAAAAATACTTCCAAAACTTAGATACTACCTACTTACTAGATTGTAAATAAAACAATTTGCAATATTGTAAATCTAGATATTCGTACAAATGTGCTTTTACGACCACGAACAACGTAGGTATGCAGTTAAATATTATCAAATAATTTGTAATCCAAGTACATCGGCTCAGATTTTTGATACGAGGATCGGCCCATCGGAAACTTCCCCGGTGGGCCAATCCACTGATGTTCTTTATAGATTTTTATTAAAATATAAATTGTAGGGATTTGAACCTTTACACCATTATTATGTATAGTATATATTATTATCAAAATCTGACCATTTAACTTATTATTTATTATTAGTAATTACTTATTACCTATTAGTATATTCCTCCCCCCCCCCCTTACAGCTCCATTCATGTTTTAGATAGGTTTGTTTTTATTTCGTTATATATTTCAATATTTCATAGCGTCTCTCAGTTAAAGTTAGGGTAATTTTAACTGTGCAGCGAAAAATAGTTGATACCTAGTAAACATAAGTTTAATAATAAACCATAATACAATATGTATTGTAGCTTCACCTAGTTATAACTTATAGAACCAATATTATATTCTCAACTTATACATAAAATATGCTTTATTTCTTTACAATTATATGGTGACTACAAAATCTTTAAAACTATTGTGATTTATGAATAATTTAAAATTTAAATATGATAACTCTTAACAATTGTAGTATACATTAAATTATATTAGAAAATATGTCTATACACCTATTATAAAAGAAAATATTTTGATGAAATGGTGCTATTTTGCTCCGATGGAACCTGGGATCTAATTAATATTACTTACGTTTGTTGGTGTATTACTGTATTATGATGTTATAAAATTTTTATTTTGCTACCTGGGTAGTATTCGACAAAAATTACATACCCGTCGTATTGGTTGTATTGTTTGTAGCCTTCGACCCACCGAGGAGATAAAAAATTACCAAACACAAAATCATTGTATTACCTATTGTTACAATAATAAATACATATATTAATATTTAAATTCAAGACGTCTAAAATCAACATATAGTATTATTAAGGTGATTTTAAAAACTAAATTTGTAAATGTTATTTTTGGATACACAGTCAATTATATTATTATGTATAGTACCCAGGTGTCATAAAAAATCAAATAATTTAAATAGGTAACCGATTTAATTGTAAAACAAATATTTGCGGTAATATTTAACTATCAAAGTGTGTAGCTATTTAAAAACATCCTACTGCCATACTGCAGGTGTTAATACTTAATTAAAGCAATGTCAAAAAATTATAAATGTAATAAATAAATAAAAATTTATCACAACACATTGTAGAGTACCTACATACAATTTATAGTTTAATTTTTGGAACTATTATATTATAACGAATGTAATATTTGTACGAAACAAAATTTATTGAATAAATTATGATTAGTATTTTAATAAAATAATAACGCATGCATAATTCAAACACGGTGCATAATTTAATCTTTTTTTATTTAAGAAATAAATTATGTCGGCGCACTATTTGTTTTATGTAGGTATCTCATCCAAACGCGTTCACTCAAAATCATCATGTTGTTTCTATGAAGGAAATCGCTTAGATGAAAATTACCTATTAGAAAAAAATAGATCGAAAGTAGAGATCAATGCGTTCATCAAAAGATTCAATTTTCAATGATTTTCTAAATGATATACAAGCAGTTTTTTGTGATAAATGAATAGTAATAATAACATTAGTATATATTACTATACAACATATTTTTAGATTCTGAGAGGAGAGATAAAAGTATTGATTTTACAATGTGTGTTTTTTTTATGTCTATGTACAAGATAAGAAATCAAAATAATGTTATGGTTTTCAACTCCGGTATCTTTTCCGGTGAAAAATTAAATCTCGGGAGGTCAAAATTCTCAGTAGTTTTATGAGTGCCGGAAAAACAAAAATACAATTAAGGAAAAAATGAAACTTTTATGCTAAATCTGTTTTCGACAAAATCGATTTTGTTTTAAGATATACCAACTCTAAAAACAATTACTGTAGGTAGAATGGTAAATGACATTTTCACTGAATGTTGATATTAGCATTATCTATACACTATAAAATTTACAAAATATTTTGACTTATGTTGAGGTTAATAAATATGATAATATGCAAATAATATTAATTCAAGCTACAGGCTACAGTAGTAATAATAATAACACTATAAAGTATAAAATATCCTAGCCCGTCCCCGCTCAGAATCGTCTTTCGTAAGGATAATAACCATTTTATTATATCATCTGATTCAAATTTAACACATTTCATCCATTTCAGCGACCCACCTGTAACCTACTGTATGGAAAAGCGTCACACACTTACCTGATTTTTTTTATATATTTTTTAAATTGTTTGTTCATATTTTTTTGTTTACTTTACTATTTTATTTAACATGATTTTTCATAAATTATTATTTTGTTAAAAGTGAGTTTACTTTAAAAATATGCTTACTATTTGTAACTATTTATGCGCAGGTACCTATTGGCTGATCTAAAAATGACAAAATCTATAGTGAAAAAAATGGCTGCAAACGAATTGCGTCCCGCGGCAAAAATTCATTCCGAATTGCGTCCCGGGTTTTTTTGGTGGTCATACTAATTGCGTCCCGAATTTTTTTAACTTTTATAGGTACCGATTGAGTCTTGTATATTATAAAAACTAAACAATATTTCCCTTCCCATTTTTATACAGACTTAGGACTGTCTGTAGTAATAGTTACTAGTTACTACAGGTAGGTTAAAAATACTGTTTTTGCTTAATATATTATTTTTGTTTTTGTATTTTGTCAAAAAATTGTAACTGTATAAAAAATATTATCGATATTGGTGAAAAATTTATTGTTTTTTTTTGTAATTTTAATTTTATAAAAATGTTATAGTACCGGTAAAAATTTAAAAGATAACTTTTTTAGGAATTCAAACCTACTAATTTTTTTTGATTCAAAATCTGCCATTGCTTGTTTTAAAAATTGTTCTTTTTTAAATATAGAGGTTGTGCGGTTGTTTAAGTGAATACTACGTTGTTTTATATAAATATGTGTTTGTAACCTCTTCATAGTATCAATAAATTGAAAAATATTTGGATGTGCATTATAAAACATCGCGTTGAGCTTAGAATGAAAAGCTTCATAACTATTTGTAGTTCTCATAGTAGTAGCCGAGTATTCTGCCCATAATGAAGGCGGTAAACTAGATTCTGGTAGTATATATGTTTCTAATATATAATCAGTAAATATATCAATTTTTTTCATCTAACGGTTTAATAGATATTAAATCGTCTGTGAAACAGTTGATCACTTCGTCAGGATGATGAAACGGTAATCCAAAAAAATATTTCAAGTATTTACTTGAATCGCTGTCAATTTTATACTCAGAACTTAAGCCAATTGATTGTATTTTCCTATACCAGCTTTGGCCCAAATGAAATCGGCATCCCTTCAGAGTTATTGAAGGCCAAACTGATAAAATAGCCAAATGTATTGATTTTTCAAAATCTGCAAATACTTTTTTTGGAGAAAATATAATATTGATTTTATTACATTCTGACAAAATGTGGAAAAATGCCTTTTTGTAGGTTTTTAATTCCTTATCAGGAAGTAGAAAAAATAATAGTGGTATATATTTACCATTTTGTAAGCCATGAACTGTGAAGATTTGAGTAAAAAGGCTTGGGCAACTTTTGAAAGTTCCGTCAACAAAAATTGTATCAACATTGCTTAAAAACATTAAGTTACTTTTACAAGAAAATAATAAAATATTCGATTCCTTATCATTTACCAACAAAAAGTTTTCACTACGATTGGTTAATAAGAAATCGCTCATATTGTCTAATGAAGTTTGAAGTTCCTCCAAATTTTTTGGTAATTTGAGCAAAATAGACGATCGTGCATAATGCATATTTTTTCTGATCAATTGTAAATCATATGTAGTTAAAGTATCTACATCATGTGTGAGTAATTCGCGATTGATGATTTTACTTGGTTTTTCGCAAATATCGTCGATAGCTTTTCGTTTTAATTGATTACTCACGATTTGACGGTTCAATATTTCGTTTTCTTCGTCATGATTATGATTAATAACTTTTTTGACTACTTCATTATCGGAGTTTAAATGAATATAAGCTGTACAGGTTTTTTTACAACAACACCACCGTTCTAGATTATTTTTTTTTAAGTACTTGTGGAAGCGAAATTTGTACGCACCAATCACAAATAAATCCCTTTGTTTTTCGCTAAACATAGTTTTAATTTCACTCGCCATAGTTATTATTAAAGTTGAAAACTTGGTTTAAAAAAAGTAACACGTGTGAATAAGTGAACCGTTTACACTGCACTGCGACAATAATTGTGTTTGTCTATACAGAAAGTAACTCACTATAAAATTATCAAAGTTTTAACGTAATCGTTTTTATTCAATCTATTATAAATTGATAATAAGTAATAACCAATAATTTCGACTTTAAAGATATCACAGGTAATGGGGACGCAATTCAGACGTGCTCAAGAAAAACCCGGGACGCAATTAGTATTATACCTTTTTATACCTTTTTATACGGGACGCAATTCGTAAGCAGCGAAAAAAATCTAGACAAACAAATACACGAGACGTCGTGCGTCGTAAAATCACTAAATTAATAGTGAATAATAACTATCCTCCTCTGCTGTCGGTTTAAACGGAAAAAAAAAGACTTCAGTAAAATACTGAAATTTACTATATTTGATAGGGAAAATATCTCTCATTGAAGACATAGCAGACGATGATTTTTCTTCTTGTTTATTCTTCTTTAAAACAGTTCAAACGATTTTAATGTACCCTAATATGTAAAATGACGAGCAATCGGAACGCCAACGTCACTCGGTTTAGGGTACGTCAGTGTTGCCGTTCCGTTTCTACCGCCCACCAGCCAGTCGGGGCCACCAGTTCCATAGCTCGGCCAATCACTCAACTTCCTCGGAGCGGCCCAAAGTTTATAGATAATAGATATTATCTATAAACCTTGGGAGCGGCCGAGCCGAGCCGTCGACGGGTTATCTCGCATTTTTTTTATCACTCATCGATATCGTTGTCGTTTTTCGAAAAATTGAGCGCGCTTTACGTTTTTTTATTACCCTTTTTTTTTTTTACTTTTCGACCTTTTTTTTCTTAATGTTTCATCCTTAAAATGTATTCTTTAAAAACCCGCGAGTTTGCGGTTCATTCACAAACCGATCGTCTCCATAGACCGGAGCCGTTCGTTACGACGGGAATTTAACAAACTTTTTTTTTTCAAAATATTGAAGAGCCATCCACATCTAACTGTTTCATTGTAATTCCATAGAATGTTGCTCTATATAATTTTTTTGTTTTGTCCTTGGTAGGTGGTAGAGAAACCTTCTCTTGAGTTAGGTATTAAATTAAACACATAAATAATATAAGACACCCATATTTAACGGAACTGTACTATCTACCAACCTAGAACCTACATACTTGTTTACTTTAAAATACTTATTTTGATTTCATATGACACATATTTAAAGCAGTAGCAATGTTCAACTGACAGTTCCTTGATTTCATTCCTCTCACTCATTTTTCCATTCATATTATTATTTATTATTTTTATTATTATATTTTATTTAACCTAACCTTTTTTTATTACCTAATAGCTAGACTAAAAACTCGCATCTAAGTTAGATCACAATTTAATTCAATGAGCATTAACTTAAAATAATACCCACTTACTGGTTTTGCTATACAATTTTAGATTGCTTATTGTTTAACAAATATTAATTGCCTAATATTTATTGTAAAATGTATTATAAGTATCCAACTATATACATTATACACACACTGCTACATTTTATGCACACAAAAATGAAGAAAAAAAATTGTAATTATCAGTTTTATAGTATTACAAAATAATTTAGCTTTACACAAGATTATAAAATTAATTTAACAACACAAAATTGCATTTTATTAGAGCCTATGCAGCTATGCAACAACAACAATAGGTAGAAACATTAATAATATGTTTCAAATGATAAATACAAATTAAATTAAATTAAAAAACATATTAGATCTTATCATACTAAGTAATAGAAAAATAATACTATGATTGTTATGCCAATATAATATTGACGATATTCACTTAAAAACTTCAGATTAAAGCAATAAAATTGTTAACCTTAAAAATAAATAATTAACATTCATTTAATCACTGCTACTGCTGCTACTGCTGCTACTACTACTGCTCGATGACTTTGATCCCTTCTTGTGTTTAAACCCTTTATGCTTATGTGCCTTATGTGCTTTGTGCATAGCATAAGCACCAACACCTGCTCCAGCAACTCCAGCTACAGGAATACCATATTTCAAAGCTTTTTTGGCTTGTTTTCTTTGAGCTTTGGCTGCTTTACGCTAAACAATATAGGAAATGAATTTGATTAATTAACTTCCTAATTAAAACAATACAAATTACTTATAATTAGAATACATTTCTATTTTAAATTTATTATGTTTGCCAATTACTCTATTGTATACACAAACATATCAAACTATCCATCTTAGAGTACGCCAAATATTGTGAGATACATAATATGGGTTCTAGGTCAATAATGAATTATATAACAAATTTTAAAGAATATTAACTAAGTTTTTTTGTATCATTTATTTATTAGTAAAATGTTTTTGAGTTTTATTTTTATAATCTATAAATATTTATAATTTAAGAGTATGTCTCAAAATTAAGAAATTAAACGTTACTATCATAGGCAATGTTTCAATAATTAATTTAAAATGTTAAAAATAAGTAAAAAATACAAGTAATTAATGTGAAGTAGAATATTTACTTTAATATTAATCTAGAAGTTTAGAACATATTATTGGTTTAAGAAAAAATAAACTTGATATACAGCTCACTATCGCCGTGCAATTTTCAAATAATATGATATATTAGTCATTAGATATAGACAGCAAACCTAACAAGTGACATGCATTAAATTGATAAATAACATTAGAAAAATGTCAACATTTTTTATTATTTAATTAGTACCTACACAAACTTACAGGGCTAATATGTCCAGTTACAGCATAATTAGTTAGTCCTTGATTGATAGCATGTTTAATTGGTGAACTTGTGTGTTTCTATAAATAACAAATAAATTTCACATTTATTTAAATATCATAATTAAATAACCATACACTGCTGGAGTCATAAACAATATTTATGTTGTTTTTTACCAATCATCTAGTATATCAAGTATTTTATATTTATTGTAATTGGAATGTACTTACCTACCCCATAAGTTAAAACTAATTTATCAACTATTAGTAAAAACCAAAGTTACAAAAACAAACAGAAAAAAAAATGTTGGTACTAAGTTGGTTGTTCAATATTTTTTACTGACTAAGAAAATGTTTATGTTACTAACAAACCTGTAAATAAGGCGAATTATGAGTTTGACCAGGATAGGCACTATAACCTGAAGCATAAGGTGGAACAGTTCCAGGTGGAGCCCCGGGCATATGCATATGACCTGCTGATGGCATATATCCAGGTGCATGACTTCCAGGTATAGGCATCTGTCCAGGCATAGGCATTTGTCCAGGCATAGGCATCTGTCCAGGCATAGGCATCTGCCCAGGTAAGGGCATATACCCAGATGGATTACCAGGCATCGGCATTGTAGGACCACCAAACTGTGTACTTCCACCAGAATTTATTTGTATACTATGTAATTGGGCTTCTCCATCAATAGCTAAATAAAACACACTTTGAAATGGTAATCTGTGTTTCATTTCTGTGTAGTGGGATCCGTTAAATGCAATCTAGTATATGAAATAATAAGTTTAGTACAATGTAAATGTACACACTCAAAATATGATAGTCAAACTATTTATTCAAACCTACTTTATAGTCATAAGCATCACATAGTATGTCCAAATTAAATGGCTGCCCTCGAATGAGAGCCACAGGTGGACCGTGAGATTCTTCCACGCCCCAATTTTGTGCTTGAATAGTGTTCCTGACAATTAAGTTACGGTTGAAGTCTAAAGCAACAAACAGGGCGACAGAGTCTCGAGGAGCAACATTTGGACCAATTTGTAAATTTATGCAGACCCTACAAAACAATAATGACAAAAGTTAAAAATGGTGCAAATATTGATTTGACTTTGATCATATTATCACAATTTAATTGTAGTATAGAATATTAATAATCACCTGTTTGAAGACGTGAATGACGTACCATGGAAGCTAAGTAGTGTGCCTTGTTTCAAACCATTTGGTATCTGTCCAACATACGGGAGGGTCTGTAAAACATATCAATTACTGTTAATAACCATTAGCAGGTTAATTAAATTTGATGAATACTGTAAACACCTTTATTATTATACTACTGTACTACAAAATAAATGTATTCTGTGACCATACTACCTATATGGTCTACAATATTGTTCAAAGTAATTAGAAACAATATCGATACAACTATAGTAGCTACACAGTAGGAAGTATAATATGGCGTAGGACACTTACCGGATTGAGGATTGGAGCTTGAGCCATGACTCGATCCACGAAATGGATGAAATGACGTGAACAGAGAACGCACCTTTAACTATGAGAGTGATTCGACTTTGGTTTCTATACTTGCAAGGAGGACTGCACGTCTGCACAGTGAATCATTCGTCTTATATAGCATATACACACGGCAAATGATCGAGTATGGAGATCGACTGTGGACTGTGGTGACTAAGAAACTAGTCGCTAGTAGAAGTAGTAGACACTTTTTATACCATATTATATTTGTAAGGTACGTAGTGAGTGACTCATCATTCACGGCCGAATGTTGCGAATTGTGATGATAAAAGATTAAATTTATTATCAAAGATGAATAACACGGTCCAGGTTGACGTCACAAACGCTGAGTTGACGTCACTAAGTAGGTGTACGAATAAGAGCAATAGGCGAACCGGTTGCACGGTATAAAATATTTATGATGTTGAATATCGGATTATTCAGCAATGGCCGTTATAAAGTTACTCAGAAGTTAGAAAGTTATACTTTGAAGTAATAAATCTTATATCTAAATCGATCATTATATCCACAACCTACACTGATTATCCTTTACAATTTAAAACATTGGCGTAATCGTGGCCAGTGGGGGCAACGAAGGGTACTTCTCCGCCTTAGATGCCAGATATTTTACCAAGAGGGCAAAAGTATCATTGTGCACCACCAACCTCTTAGCCCTAGGATAGTACTGGTAGTAGAATGTGTCACCGAACAAACTTAGAGACTTAGAGTCTGACAAAATATTTAAAAAATTCCAACACAAAATATGAATTTGCAGACCACGCATGTGGTATCTCTGTGACCCTATAAACTCTATAGTAGGTACCTATAGAGTATAGAGTATAGGCTTTAACGACAAAATATAAAGTAGCAAAAATACTCATCGGATTCTTACTATAGTTGATTTATGAATAATATTAGAGACAATATACCTATTATAAAATTTATAGAAGAGAATATAAACTATGCTTCACCGTAGTTTTTTTTTTTATGAATTATGTTAATTTAAAAAATAATATTTAGTTAAGTCGGTACCCAGGATAGGTACCTATCTATACTTATAACTCATTTTAAAATAAATACATGAAAAAAAAACTCTTAACATGATTATATTTTATTTTATCTTCAACTTCACTAATACCTACGATGGTATACCTCGTATGTAAATTTGCTATAGTATTAACTATAATGATAAATAATTTGTAAACTGTAGTACCGGATACCATACGTGGAGATGATTTGTTATGTTAAGCGTGTGTACTGTGCAACTGTGCAAGGCAGAGATAAATTAACGCTGTTAATGTACACTGTACATATAGGTACTTCTATAAAAGTTTATCATAAAATAAAAAATAATATTTCTAATAATTATTGTAAAACTGCGTGGGCAAAAATAAATTACATTATAATATTAAATTATTAAAAATATATATAATATGATAATTATATAGTATTAATTATATACAGGGCCGTCCTGACGATTTGCGATGCTCATGAGGGAGTAAAATTGAGGGGCCTAAGATGTCATTATCGTTAAGTGCATCTTTAATTAATTTCATCTTTAGAAATTGAATTTTAATAATTTGAAAATTATATTTTATATTTTAGTTGCTACCTACCTTAATTATAATTATTAATAACTATCCACTAACCTATATAGATAGATAACAGATAAGTTATACATTTCTTTTATGAAATTATGAAAGTTTGACTTTGCATATTTTTTAATATTTTGTTATTTTACAAAGCCTTTTTTATACAAATTTAAACAATTTATAGGTTAAGTTAGGTTAAACCTACCTAGTTTTAATTGCATATTCGCATACCTGTTTCAAACTTGTATAGTGTAATAAAGTCTCGAACCGGCCGAACAATAAGTCAATAAACATATATCTTTTGAAATATTTCTTGTATTATAACTAAAAAAGTTGACTTCATTTAAATATTAACTACGTAGTACAAATAATTTTAACTTTAAACACTATAACATCAGGTAATATAGTTTTAAATTAGACAAGGCTGAAATTTATCTTAATGTTACACCAACCAATTGGCCAATTTAAATTACAACTTTTATTGAAGTATTGTAGTGCAGTATAGGTACAAATTTAATTTTTACTCATTTTTTATATTTATAAACGTACATATGCAACTTTACTTGTTAAATTCATTTTTTTTACCATTTGAAAAGCTGAAGAGCACAATACGAATTTAACAAAAAGTATTGTACCCTTTTTTATTACAATGAGTATGAATTTTATTAGACAATATATAATATTGTATATAATATTATACAATGAAAGACATTCAAACTACAATGAAACTTTTAAAAAAAGGGAAAACCCAAGTGCAGTAGATAATTATCAAAACTTATTTTAGCATTATTTATATACCTACTACATTTTATTTATCATTAGATTAGACTCATAGTCATCACTGAATATTTTGAAATTTAAGCTTTTTTTATACCAAAAATCTTTTTGAATTTGAATTATACATTTAGGTATACCTTAACACAATAACACATATAGGTAATGTAATGGCGGTAGCTTATAATTTATAATTAATTCAAATTCAAAAACTCAAGAAGAACTTATTACCTATCTGGCTATCTATTATACAGTATGTTGTATGTGGTAAAACCACAGACCAAGATTAACAGGACTGGAAACAAACCTTTATCATTTGAGATTTGAATAATATCTGTTACGAAAAGTTAATGAGCGATTGTGGCACTGTCTATTATTTTTATATTACAAATTTAAGTAAGTTACTGGATACAGTTTATGAAGCTGATGAAAACAACAAATACAAAATATGTGTTTTGTGCTATTAAATAAATAAAATAATTTATTAAAACTGCTAAATATCTTATTATAACATAAAATATGATTTAAAATATATCATCTGGTAGGAATATAATTTTTTTCAAAAATTGGTCATAATTAATACTGCACTTTTTTCTTTCAATATATATGTATCAATAAACTAATTTATGTGTCAAATGTTTTAAACTAAACTATAAAGTACAAAATTAACAATGAATAAAAACAAAAAATATGTTTTTAAAACTATAATAGTATATAATGTAGTAATTATTTAGCAATTGTATGATATGTAATTAATTTACTTTATTTTTTTATTTTTTCACAAACATTTTTATTTTTGACGATTTTGACTAGCACAATACTGCCTCATTCACATTCTTAGATAAGTACAGGGCCGTAGACACGGGGGGGGGGGGTTAGGGGGTTCAACACTACTCTAAATAGGATGGTTTAAATGGATTGGTGCTCTTAAGCTACTATCGAAACATCGAAATAACGCCGGAAGAAGTACTGGACGAACTAGCAAAAAAAAAAAGAAAAATAGATCTGATATTATGACTTATAAGACACTAAAATAAAGATATAAAAATATAAATAATGTGTTATTTTTTCTTAATTTACTATAACATGTTATTATTATAATAACCCCCCCCCCATATAAAATTCCTGTCTACGGCACTGGATAAGTGCATAATAAAAACTTATCATTTTCATGAATTCCGAAGAATGAATATCAAAAGGGAATGTTATTGTATAATTCTCTAATAGATAATTTAGAACTAATTTAAATATTTCAATTTTTGTACATTGCATATTATAGTAAAGCCTTTTTCTAAAACTGAAACCAATTAATGGAAAACATGAAAATTAGGATGAATTAGTTTTCCATTTTACTTTACTAATGTTAAGGTTGCTTCTGGTATATTAAATGGTCCAGTAGAACCTTACAATTTTTCCTGACAAAAATTACATTTTGTAGATATAAATATTTTTCTACATATACATCCACAAACATAATAAATTATATAACTCATGTCTAGTAGATGCCTGGAAATAATTGTGGTCTTCAAATACAGATTCTGGTTCCCAGTTACCTTATTTTATCAATGTATCAAGTTTTGATTTGAAATTTAAAACTATACTAGGTACTTCTTGTACTACAAGACTTAGTAACAGCTGTATCATTACTGAATACTGTTATACGCTAAAAAAAAAAATACAGGATGAAGTATTTAAATTATAAATGCAGACAATTTAATTTTGATTTATTTTTAAGCCATTAATTACCAGTACATATCACTAAATATTTGTGTTAATACCGAGCTGTAAACAGTAACAATAATCCCAACTTTTGAGCTGATTTGAGTAATATCGTTTAAAATATTCCCCAAATGATTTATTGTCATCATAATTTAACAAATCCTGCACATGGCGTGAATATTATGAACTTGAAAATCTTCAACAGATGTTAATTGCAATAACACTCATAGTGTTTTATACACAATTGCTTTTTTTTCTGTGCCTCCACTTATCTTGTTCAATATAGCAATATATAATATACCTATGAATGTTAGCTCCTCAATGACATAAGAAACACTGCGAATAACACATAAGATATCCTTTACCAACTAAATAGAAATAATAGTACTTATTATTATACGTAGTTGTGTTATAGCCTATATGTAGTACTAGACACTAGCGGCTGCTCGTGGGGTCTTTTGAAGGTGGGGCATAAATGTTTCCTTCTTTTTCCACTATGACAGATTTGAACTTACCATTAATTCCTGTTGATTTTTTAAATAAAATAAAATACATTTTTTGATTCCTTTGATACCAAAACCTTATACGCTTATAAAGTATCTTGCACAACAAATAATTTAAAATTATGCTTTAAAAATAGATATTTAACATAATTATTATGCCATTATAATATGTAAATATGTAATACAATATAATTATAAGTTAAAACATAATATTATGCAGTAGTTATATTTTTGAATTCCAAATCGATCCGTCTGTCTTTTTTCTTCGTGAATACATTGATGATTTCTTCATTAAAATTTGGTATTTGATTTTCTTTTCAATTAATAACATCGCTAATGCTGTTAATCGCTCTTCTGCCATACTATTTCTGGAGATGTCATAGGTATTTTAAGTAATTACGTAGAATATTCGCCTCCAACACCCTCGCGGCTTCGCCTTAGGTACTCATAAGATTTTAAATCATTTAATTATAAAACATAGTATGTGTCCATAATGTTGCAATATAACTGAAACACTCAATATTTATGGGTAAAGAGTTGTTCGATTTAATGACAATATATTCTTACGAGTTACAATACGATGAATATCATTGTATAAAACCCATTAATATACAATTTAGTATTTTTACTAATTGAACTAACAGCTGAACTATTTTGAATTTCGGTTTTCAATCTCTCTCTTTATCTA